TTCCCTCACCTCACGCGTCGGGCGGAAACCGGCGCCCTCGCTTTCCCTGCAGCTCCAGCCCGGGATCGTGGAGGGCGCGACGTTGCGGCTGCGCGCCTGCATGTTCGATACGCGATGCCATGAGCTCGAGGCCACCGCGCGGGCGATGCGAAAATGGCAGACACACGAGGAAAGACTACGGGAGAAGGCCTTGGCCACGCGCACGAGAGAGGGTCGGGAGGGGTATGCCCGCCAGAAGGTGTTTCGATAGCCGCTTTTCTTTCTTCCTCTCTTGCGGTGTATATATCGTTTTTTTTGGGGGGGGGGGGGAGGGGCGGGTAAAGCAGACAGTAGATACAGCAAACAAGTTTAGATCACATGGTATTCAAAGGAATGACAAGGAAAAATACCTTGTACTGCGACATGAGATAAGCAAAAACGTCTCGTTTACGCTGCTATGGGATATGCCTGTCGGAGAATATATAGTGAATAATACTTTTAAAAAAATGAATGTTTTTTTTTTACCTGGATTCGGTTGGTCAGATCGATAGTTCACAGGAATTGGCAAAATGGCGGATTCAAAAAGCTTTTATCAGGTGACAGAGTTTTTTAAAAAGGTTCAATCGAAGGATAAAATAGAAATAGCAGCTCTTCAGCATTTTAAAATAGTCACTGAAATGGAAAATAAACTAGTTTTCCATAGGCACGACCGTATTTTGTCATTTAATGTCAGTTTATGTATACATATATATTTATGCTTTGAATTACGTATTAAACATCATTGTGTTTGCTTTTTTTCCCCTTCGTGCCTCTTAATTGTGGTATGTTTACTTATATGCGTATACATGTATTTTACTTGTTTATGTACGTGTATATATGCTTCTTTAGGATGATTTGTGAGATTTGAAGTTTCGAATGATTAGATTTAATAGTGTTATACGTTTTTGTGTTTCGTAATGATTTTTGCAATTCAATTATATGTACTGCTTTGTGTTTTTTGCTTTTTTTTTCTACACGTACACATGTATGTGGCTGTGAGTGTGTGAGTGTGTGTTAGCTTGTTTTCACAGCCGTCTTGGCGATTCTGATTTAACCATTTGGTTCGGCCGTAGTAGACACAAACTAGTGTTTTTCCAGTCTAGCTTTTAGTTTCTTCCCATTCCTATCTGAAAATGAAGTATTTATTTCAATCCATTACAAATTACGGCGTGAAGTGAGAATGAGATACGCTCTAGACTCCACGATAAAACATTACGCGACCTTTTTCCCTCGATCTTTAATTTTTGTTAAATATCACTTTCCCATTCGTATGTTCACAATATTTGTTGGAGGAGATTTTTCACCGATAGTAGTGGTATTAGCACTTTTGAAAATTTTGCCCTATAGTGCGTTACTTTGATCATATGTTTCGACTACAGGGCATGCGATTGAGGCTGCTAAACCGCTCACTCGCGGTGATAGCGTCAAAGACAGAGAGGGCTTCAGCGATTTACTCCTCTTCAGTGATCGATGGTCGTCAACTTCAAAGCACCCATGGCGGTAAACTGACATCGGGTGATGCTACAGAACACACGCAATCCCGGTTTTTAAGGCGGAAAGATCGTCAAGTGAAGCGCGTCTATCTTCCTGAAATTAACGATAATAGCAAGCAGGAAGATATCGCAGATGGGGTACCTGATTGTTTCGACGGCGGCACGGATTTCGTGACGTCTAGACGGCAACCTCAGGCCTCCGTCGTGGGAAAGGATTCTTCGAGGGGTTCTCGTGGCGCACACCTCAGCAACTCCAAAAGAAACAAGCCGACGGATACCAATAGATTGTCTTCTTCTCCCTCGGATTCGTCGCATGTCGTTCACTCGTCGGGTTCACCTTCACGGTTTACTCGTTCCCGCCCTCTGTCGAAGGATTCCGTGCGGGAAGCGAGCCCCCTACCGTGTGACTTTTCAAGACCCTCCACTGAGAACCTCAGCCCCGAATCGGTTGTCAGCCAACTTCTCTCGCTCAGGCGTGCGAATGCGGCAAATCGATATAGTATATCTGGCAGGTGCCGCGTTAGGAACGATTTGAGGATTTTTTTATTTTACAAACTTCCCCAATCCCTGCCGTCGGTGTTCAGCTCCAAGGCAAGCTCGTTTCTCACACGAGCGATGGTGGTAAACTTACCACAGGAGGGCGGTGGGGCTGCCGTGGATGCCCATCCGACGAGCCAACCCGCTCAAGGCTACCGGCAACCAAACACCCTCAACTGGACGGTCGAGTTGGCGGAGGAGATCTTGCTTTCCTACGCAGAATTTGAATTCCGAATCTTGCCGGGCCACTTAGGCGATCAAGCGGCATTTTTCCTACTCACGGAGTACGGCAAATTGCCGAATCGTAAAAGTGGCTCGGGAGCTTCCGAGGATTCGCCGCAGTTTAGCGCGCCTGATATTATCCGCCGCGCTAAGCTAGCGATGGCCGTACATCAGATTTTAGAGTTCGGTCGCACGCGTATCCTTTTTAAACATGTACTCAACGAATCTGAACACCTAACACGCTATTTAAGAGCGCTCAAAGCCGATAAGGAGGCAGCATCATCGACTGCTGACAGCGTGAACTCTCAAGGGGATGCAAGAAAAAACGCCACATCATCCGATCCTCACACGAGCGAACACTCTTCCATGGAGGAGTCTCACGAGAGTGATATTGGTGCGATTGATGAAATGGCGGATCGAGAGCGGTTGTTTTGCATTAGCTGCGCGGGCTATTACTGGCTAGAGATGCTTTACGTTCGAGAGCTCCTTCCACGATTATATAATAGCCTGAGAAGGTTATGTGAGTTTGGTATGTATCCGGAGGAAAGTGAAGCGCATAGGATGAATGGGGGGAAAGCGAAACAAGACGCCGAACACGATGCGGAGGGAGTAAAAAAAAACGCACATTTGATGCTCTCGAGTCTAGAGGATTGCCCATTTTCCAGGCACGAACGCGAAGCTTTTTCTTACCTGACATCTGTCTTTAACAAAGTTTTGGGGGGGCGTCTTGTGGAGCCAATTTCGAGATCGGAGCGCGGAAAGGAAAGTGCAAAAGACGTGGTTTCCTCGGCCGAACCCCCTCTGCTATCTTTCGTAGCGGAAAATAAATATGCGGTCCGCTTCCGAGGTCCGTTTGAATGCATCCGTGAAGAAGGTTTCGTGAAGGATATGGTCAATTGGCGTTCAAAAGAAACGGCATGTGCGCTTGAATTACCCCCTCAACCCCCATTGCAACCGATTCCGCTACGCTTGCTGCTTTGTGGTCTGCATCGCTTTACTTTAGGCGTCGACGGCGTCGCCTCGCATGCGTGGCGCAAGGTCGCACCGAAAACGAAAGCAAACGGCGAGGTAAGGAATATCGAAGAGACGGAGGGCCGCGGGATTTCCTTTTCAACACCCCTCCTCCCGTTTCTCGAGCAAAACAAATCGGATCCCTGCGTGAAGGCGCAGGCTGAGAAAGAGGCCGCTGTCCGCGAAGAGTTGCCTTATTGGTTTTTCATCGAAATGAACAGGTATGACGTAAAAGTGGAATTGCTCATCCCCGTTATGCAGTTTTTCTTTCACAGTTCATCCTTTTCGTTGCTTAGCTCGATGGAAGGGGGATTTATCCGGCAAGCATCGGCTGCTACTGCTGATCGCCAGTCACCGGTTGCGCGGGAAGACGGTTTATCGTTTACCTCGCAGGAGTCCGTAGATGAACTAGCACGGGAAACTTTCCTAAAGCGAGAAAACGCAGTGCGGGATCTTATTCGCTTGCTTGATCTTATCGTAAAATTCAGCGTTGTGTGCACCACCTACCAGCTGGCATCTATCGCGAGTTTGTACGCGCGAGTTCTGTCGTGGTCTTTTCCCCAATTTGAAGACAGCACCGCATCCGTGTTGACGTCTGAAAAGGATTTGTCGTTTTCCCGTTCAAAAAATACGACACCAACTCATCCGCGTGATGCTCCTTCGTCGCTCTCCGCCTCGACTAGATCTTCTCAGATGGAAATGCACACAGCGATTTGTTACGGGGTGCAGAGATTTGTGTTGGAATGCATGGAAGAGCTTCTCCTGGAGTTCTCTGAGGAAGGCAAAGAGTTGAATAGTCCACCTCAGAAGCACTTTTTCAATCGAGAAGCCTCTGAGCTACGTTATGCAACTTCCCTTGCCCCTCTGCGGGTGATGCAGCTTTTGAAGGGAAGGGCCATGAGATTCACATCGAAGTTCAGCGCCTCGGATGTAGCGTCGTTTTTGCAAGCCTTATCGAAGATCAACTCCGTCTTCCACGATAATCGGCCTTCTCCACGTCAAATCCAGGATGGGGGAAAGGGTTGGAAGCCGGATTCTAATAGTAATGTGATGAGGGATCCTTCGTCTGGGAGTGCAAATTCTCCAAACGAAGACTCCCCCCGACCTTTTGAATCGTGGTTTTTGAGGATGAGGCCGCCTCTCCGCACGGAGCTAGAGGCACTGCTAGACATGCTAACCACCGATTTCTTTTTAATGGTGGAGAAGCATCTATATTTTTCTTTACAAAAGCAATCCACTCGCTTAGCTTTAGATCAGCTAACTGAGACAACGCGATCATTGGGTGAATTTATTGAGAATGTCACCCTCATAGAGGAGGTTGGTCAAACAGGTTTCCGACCGCTTGAAGTGAAGGCCACCGCGGATGGAAAGACGTTGATCTCACGAAACGATAACGATTCCCAAGGCAAAGATCTGAATCCCATTAAATATAAAAAGCAATCTGGAGATTCTCGAAAAGATGAGGTAAATATCACTCAGAACCCTCATGCTTTTGTTAATTTACCTTTGGCTTATACAAAAGTGTTATGTAAGAGAAAAACTGGGGCCTTTTTTCCCATCTACACACCATCCGAATTTCTCTCGGCGTTAGAGGCGTTGGAGGCTCTTTCGGTGGGACCAAACTTTTACGAAAAGCTCAAATCGCTCTGCGGGCTCTATCTCCGCAACGAACACATCACCTTTTGCGGTCGAGGTACGCGAGAGTTGACGGCGATTTCGCTAAAATGGATCACCTGCGCGTCGAAAAGCCTTTTTGCGCATCACAGTCTCCGCCTTTTGGACCCCACGCGCACGTCGACCGCGGAGAAGCGGTCCGACGGCGTCGATTGCGGAGCCTCCGACGATGCGCAGCTCGTCGCGCCGTTGATCCCCCCCTGGCGGATTTGGATGACGAATCTGTTATGCCTGGCCACGATGTCAGGCTCCTTGAAGACGATCACCGTATCCGATGTGGTGGCGCTCTGCCAACGGTTGCGGTCGGTTTCGCGTGAATCCAACGACGCGGATGGAGATCACCGCGAAAGCGCATCCGCGCGCGCAACGGAGGATCGATCGTTGCTTCAGCTCCCGGCGGATACGGTTATTTTGAGCCCGTGGTCCTCGGAAAACTTTTTTTCACATATCGCGAGCGCGGAGGGGTTTTGCTTTCAGACGCAGCGAAAGGGCCTCCCGGCGGATTCCAAGGAAGAAGACCCTCTCAAAGGGGTTGTGGTGGATTTTCCGTCACCCGCCCCCGAGGGGTTTCGAGGATTCAGCGCGCAGATTCGGCGAGATGTGGTTCGGAATCTTTTGGCGGATGTGTTCCACTACATGGCGCTCATCGCCGCATCCCCTACCACATCTTCTTCTTTCAATCCGATTACTTTTTACAAACTGAATGCACCATACATCCTCCGGGTGGCGTATATACTCTTGGGGGAAATCTTCACGAAGGAAATGTCTTTGGGAGCATTTTCAGCGTCTTCCTCAAACACCTTTAAAGTGGATTGTCAATCCAATGTGGCCAAACTGACAGATGAATGTCGGGAAACGTTAGAGAGCCTGTGGATACCTCTTTACGTGATTCTACGACGAGTAATACGCCAGATGCGTGCGTTAGGCCTCCTTGAATTTCCCTTATCCCTTCAAGCGGGCGCTACGCCGCCAGAGGAAGGATCCGAACTCAACACGCACTGGAAGGTCTTTTCAGCTTCAATCGGCGATGTGACCGAAACCAAGGGATACAAAATGTGTGCTCAGGCTTGGGCACTTGAGAAACTTTCGTGCGCCTTTGAGGCATATTTCTTACGTCTTTTGAAGGCCCATTCCATGGAGCTCCTTTCGCGCTGCAGTCGTAATGAGGGTGTCGTTGAAAACCCCTCCTTGCGCTCATCCAATCAACCGCATGGGGACTCCTATCGAAATGATAACGCGCCCAGACGGGCTGCGCTAACGCCCTATGCAATTATCGAGCTTGCTATTCTTCTGCAAGATGAGAAGAATGACGCGATGTCGCCTTACATTTCCACTAAGTGTCCGAAAAAGGGTCCGGGTTCTATCCAGCCTTTAGCTAATATCGAGATCCTACACGAGGTGCTGCAGGACATGCTATCCCGGAGTCTTGCGCGGAGAACGTTGCATGAGCGGGTGCTTCTCCTTTCGGATCTTTCCCAGGTTTTTGTCGATGCCAACGGCTCCCTGCTACCAAAGTGGGTTTGGGAAATGATCAAGAATGCTATTCTGCAGCAGCTTCCGAATGCCTTCACTTGGGATGCGCGTTTGGGCATGGATTCCCTTCCATTTTTCTACGCATGGACTTTTTTGCCGTTTTCACATCCCTTCATCCACTTTGGCGGGGGTGCCGAAGCTGAATTGCTTGATAGCGGAAGTATATCTTCCAAGCGTGCGGAGATACAGCAAGATCCAATTTGTCATGACGCAGAGGGTGGGTCTTTGAAGCCTGAGGGTGATCACGACGTGCTAGAGGCGCATGTGATCCGCGTAGCGCATTCCACGGAATCGGTGAGCGAGAGAGAGGTAAGGTTAAATTCCATCCTTGTCGCCGGTACCACTGATGCTAAGTTACATTTCGGGAGCTCTCACGCGATGGAGCGGGAAGGAAATGAGGGTTCCATAACTTCCTTAGCCCCTGCCAGGAGGGAGGCATTTTCTTTGTTCGTTTACCAGTCTATTCTGGAAAGTCAAACGCTTTACAAGTTATTGTGGATCCTACGGCAGCTTTACGTGATGTTTGCCGCGCATTCTTCACGATTGTCTCCTTCGTTCACCGGTGATCCGCCCTCTGTCGATGAATGGTTTCCGCGGCTGCGCGAACTTGCACCGTTGCGGGCGATACAACTGCTCCATGCTGATCCCGAGAGAAGGATCCCTTTCAGTGTTTTAACCGAATTCTTTGAAGCTATTTTCCAAATCGAATTTAGGATCGCGCAATACCAAGGCGTTCCCATTCCTACTCTGGAAGATACGCGCCACGATAAGGATAGTTCGCCCAATGGCGGCAATCTTACTCCTACCGCCGATTCAATCTCCTCACTTGCGGCTATTGTACATCGGTTTTCATCTTTATCACCTCAACAAATCCCTTTCGCGAAGCAATGGGTTTCCCTCTCGAGCGTCACCGCGGTGCTAAGCTCCCTTTGGTGTCTTTCGTCATCGTCATCCCTTTCTTCCGGGATTACCGCTGATCTTTCGAAAAGGTTGTTGGGGCTGTTTTCCCCCGTCCTCCTTTATGCGTCTGAGATTCAGCTGAGGGTGCCCTGCTATAATGAGTTGGTGCGGTTGGTGGGGCTGCTGATGCTGATGGCGCCGGAATGGATTTTGCCTGTCGTCAGCGCGAGCTTCATCGTGGGCTCTCAGGGCAATTCTAACTATCCGAATCCCATGAAAAAGTCTCCTGTGAAGGGAGGTAGAAGGGCAACCCGACCTTATCCTTCTTCTTCCTCGTCTCTTTCCTTATCTGGACGAAACGGAGGCACCTCTGTGGTGCAGACGGCGGCGGGTATGTTGTACATGTTGATTATCATGGATCGGATGAAAACCATGCCTCATTTGCAACCTCAGGATGCCTCGGCTAACCCTTTCATGAGAAACATTGCGATTATATCGGATGCTGCGCGGCGGGGTAGCTTTTCTGATCCATGCAAAATGAAAGGGAGCGACCCTGATCTTGATGATCCCACCAGCTCCCAGAAGGAAGATGATTTCACCCCATACGAGGAAAACTTGGAGGGCATGGATGACGTCACTCAAGATTTCGAAAATGCCACACCTCTTGTGGATGTGTCGTTTATATGGCGAAGTATGAGCCAAACCATGTATCATTTCCTGAAGCAGACGATACGGTTGCTGCAAGAATGCAAATGGCATTGGAGGGATCAATTTGGGATCCCTATCGAACTCCATTCCACCCCAGTAAACGACAGCGAAACGGAAAAGGAACAGCGGGAGGCTTTGATTTCGCTGCTCGCGCGGGTGATGGAGTTAGAATTGGTGGAGCGGAGCCCGATATTCTACAATGTGGTGCAATCGACGTTGCATTACGCCATTGAAATTGAAATGGGGTGGGCTGATCTTGGGTTTGTTGTTGATGCTTCGGAGCCGCTCGCGGCGGAGACCTCGATGCGATCGACCAACCCGTCTTCGCGCAGCCAAAAGGGGTTGACGGAAACCTCCACAGCCTCCACCCGTGGGAAAACTTCACAGCTCGCGACCCTTCCTTCTCCTAAAGTCGTGATCGCCCTGGATGATGAAACTGGGGAGCCCTTTCAACTTTATATTCAACCGTTCCAGTATTACTTCGTAAGGGAGGATCTCACCCTGACCGGGCACCTCTCGCTGAAAAGAAAGGAGGCGAAGCACTTAAAAGGGAGCACCTTCATGCAACCTCGTCAGGGTTCCCTCCCGTCTAACCCCTCTTTCGTCGAGGGGGTTCCCACCGCGATCGTGTTGCGATCGCATCTTCATTTGCCCCCGGTGTTGCGGCGTCTTTCTCTCGAGGTCTGGCGGCGTCTGCTCTGGCGAGGAAGCGAGATTTTTCCCCGTTATAAATACGATAGCCGCTTAAGAATAGAAGCGCGCGAGGAGCGTCGACGAGCACGACGGGAGCATCCTTCAAAGGCGGTCGATACCTCCTCTCCCGCGAGCGGCCTCCACCCGGGCGATCCTTTTACCTTTCGGGAGGTTCAACTCGCCATCCGAGAGCATCCGGGGGTCGCCGATCTCGCGCGTTTGTCCTCCGTGGCCGTTGAGGAATTGAGTGGAAAAAAGAAAATCGCGGGGATCGCGAACGAAAATGGGGAGTTCACCCACCGGGAGGCGGGTGGGATGGGTCCGTTGTCGTTTCTCGCGTTAACCACCGCGCTGCTCCACCGCTACACCGCCCACACCACCGCGAGGGATCGCGTGTTGCTCGACGCCGCCGCCGCCGCGATGCGGGCGTTTCGCGGCGAGGAAAACGGGGCGGATTTCACGCGAGAAGGGGGTTCCCTTTCCGCCACGACGACAGCCTTAAAAATCCCCTTGTTGGAGGGGTTTCTGGACGATATTTTTCCATCCATGAAGGGGGGTTGTGCGGCACCGCGGACGGCGTTGAGTGCGGTGTGGCTGCAGCCGTGGCTGAGACTCGCGCGGGATCACCTCCGCGGGATGGCGGCGGGCAACCTCGAGGGCATCCTCCATGAGGAGCGAAACGCCACCCTCTCGCAAACCCCAAAAGTCGATTTCGACGGCAACCCGGAGGATGAAGGGGGGGATGTTGTGTGGAGTTCCACCCAGGAGTCCCTGGTGAATCCTTTGATTCGCCCGTCATTCGTTTCTTCGCGCGTTTTGCGGTTTGATCTCGGCGTGGTGGCGTCGTTTCTGCGGCTTTTGCAGATTCTTCAACCTCACCTCGCCCAACGTCGCCTTCACGACGCCTTCCTTCGACTTCAAGAAATGAATTTAACCGGGGATCCTCCCATCGAGGGCGACGAAAAGGCTCTTTTGGATACCCTCCCTCGCCTCCAGTTGGAAACCACCCCACCGTGTGGGTTTGTTGAGTTGATTTTGTGGATTCTTCGTGAACTCCGCGCCGCGTACGTGCGTGAGGCCGCGATGGAAATCGCACGAAAAGACGGCATGCGAATCGAAGCGACGAATTTCAGCGCGGTTTTGGATTTCCTCCGCCGTGGGGATCTCATCGGAGCTCGCGAGGTGGGTGGTTTTGCGAAGAACACGCGATCCACGCGAGGATGGAACGTTGACGACGAGGACGGGTACGATGGGATCGCCGCGCGGGTTCGCGATCGCCTGCGGTGGATTGACGAAAGGCGGCTGGAGGGTGCTGTCCTCGAGCTTCTTTTCGCCCTCCCGGACGGCGAGGAAGGGGGGGTTGTGAAGTTCACCAAGGCGCATCGGGTTATCCTCCGCCGACGACTTTCCCACCTCCAGCCGCGCGATTTGGCGAGAATGTTTTCGCTGTTGATGCAACCCGTTCAGGGGTCCGCAGGGGCGGTGGAGTCGACGCGAGGGCTTCCCGATGAGTCCGTTTCACCCACAACCCTCGCTTTCGGTGCCCTTCACGCGGAAAAAGAAAATCCAGATGCGGAAGAAAAAGCGCTCGATCGCGTTTTGCTTTTATGTGAGGTTTTGATGGATCTGCTGCCGAGCATTCCCGGCAAGGATGTCGTGTGCATCATGGAGACGGTGCTGCCGGTGTGGCGTGGCTTGGAAGGGGGGGCGTTAAGGGTTGGGGAGACGAAATCCATCGTTCGCCACGAACTCCGCCGCTTTCTTTCCACGATTCCAACCCTCGCCTCGAGCTGCCTTCAACACTTCACCCTATTCGAGTTGGTTCGGATCTTTTCCGAACTCCACGCACCACAACATCATGACGGAGAGGAAATCCCAAAGGATTGCTTCGCCGATTCGCTCGTTTCCACGGCCGCCGCGCGGACTCTGCGGCTCGCTTTAACACCGGAGTTTTATGTGGAGGAGCAGGAGATCGTTCGCGCGCGCATTCAGCGCCTGGCGGCGATGAATAGCGGGAAGTTGTTGTATAAGGAATGGCTTCGGATTTTATCGGAGTCGATTCAGGGCTCAAAAGAGGTGAAACATTTAGAATCAGTAACGGGTTCACCTCTGGGAACCAAAGAGACAATGGGTTTGATAAAGTTGACGAATATGTTCACCTTTATCGAGGTAACTGGGAGCTAGTGAGGATGAGGAGAATTTAAGTGACTATGCGATGCAAAGCGCACATTTGATTGCTCAGTTTTACTTGGGTGAATTTTTTTTCTATGTGAGTTTCCCGTTTCTTCAATCCCTTGAGCCCTGTGACACTACAAATAAAACGTTAAGTTAATTACGCAACTTTAAACTTGGACGTGCTGTGAATGGGAATAAATTCCACTAATGCACAAGAGATCGAGCGATAAACGCGCTTGGCGGCGGGATGTGTCGTGTTATCAGGTTCCTCCCACGAGCTTTTTCTTTTTTTTTATCTTCTATATATCTTGTTGCTGTTGTTATCCCTCCTTTAGCTTCATAAGTACATAACTTCCCTCTTCACATTGTAGAATCTGATTTTAGAGGTAATGCGATACACTGTACTGTATATTTTTTTATTGCTTTGAAAAGGACAAGAGAGAGAGAGTTTCTCAAAACCATTCTACCTTTCACCACTTTGGGTATCCGGGTAGTTATTTACACGCTCCCCAAAAAATAAAAAAAATCCGAAACATCCTATGCGGGAGCTTCTCTCCCGTGTGGAGGCGATTCACGAGGCTACCAGGAAGCCCTACGAGGAAACCCAAGGCGCCAGTTTTCGGCGAAGGGAGGGCGAGCTGGAGGAAAGGAAAAGGCAGCGGCAGTTTGAAAAGCTTTCCCCGTTTAAACAGGCAGAGCTTAAATGCATGGAGTGCGTCGCGGAGCTGCGCTTTTGTTTGCGGGTTTGCAGCAATCTCGAAGCGTCGTCGTCGTCATCGGACAAGAGGAGCTCCGAGAGGGCGGTCGCGCAGGCACGTTTAGCTGCTCGACGCGCGCATCAACGGCTTCGAACGCTTCATCAGGAGGTGGAGCGGCTGCATCGCGCGCGCTCGAATTTAAATCAATCGTCTCCCCGATTTCTTCCTTCTCCTCCGACGACGATATCCACCAGAGAGAATCAACGAGAAGAGGACGAGGAGGAAGAGGATTTCAAGAAATTGTGCGATCATGTCGAGCGGGCGCGTCAATGGTATCGGGAGGAGTTCCGCATCATGGTGGTCTCCTCCGCAGAAAGTCCGCGGCCCTTTTCGTATCTTCGATCCTCCTCCCACGCCGCGGATCCCCACTCCGACGACGACGATGAAACCCACCCGTTGCTTCACGAAGGCCGCGGCGAAGACGCCCACCCACCTGTCAGAACGCGGGAAAATGCACCCCTTCTCGAGCGTCGGGAGGAGGTGGAGAAACGCATGATTCGATACGCGCGCGAGGACGCGGAGTTTCGAACGTTTTTTGAATCCCTCCGACAAAACGACGCGTTGATGGATCAGGCCCTGGATCGGATCGAAGCCAGCGTTTACCGTTTGCGCGATCACGCCATGGGGGTTTCTCACGAGCTGGACGCGCAACAGGTGTTGTTGAATGAAACGGAAGTGCGTGTGAATGAAAACGAGCGCGAATTGCGCAGCCTAAATCGACGTCTTCAACGTAGCATCTCGGAGGTGAAATCCTCCACGGTGGGCTCCTATGTCTTTTGCACGCTATGCTTGCTATTTGTTCTGAGTCTGTTGATACGTGTTGCAAGTTAACGAGATTTTTTTATCACATTGTAAAATGTGAGGAAATAAAATCGAAAAACAAAAGGGACAGGTAAGGACTTGAAGGAATGATAGGGAACGTGTTTACTTATAGATGGTTTAACATCGTGATTGTTGTAAATTCAACGACGAAACACCAAAAAATGAAAAAGGATTCAATTCCATGCTTGAAAATCGACGAAGATTTTCGTCTCCAATTGACGTCATATGGTGCGGGCGAATGATCGCCCGTGTCGAATGATCCCCCTGACGCCTTTGTCTGGTGGTGGGGTTGATTGTCCATTCCACCCACCCCCACTCCCTTTTCCTGCTTCGGCGTCTTTTTCTGCGCCGCAAAGCAAATCCACGAACATCCAACCACACTTGGACGCCCTCCCCTCCCCCCCCCCCTTTCCCCCTCCGTCCTCAACCTTAGATTTTTCCTCTTTTCTTTCGGTTTCGTCTTTTTTTTCGTGGCTTCCAGCCGGGATGGGTGCGGTGATGAGCTGGGCGGCCTCCGTCTTCGCGGGGAAGAAGGCCACCGTCCTGATGCTCGGCCTCGACGCCGCCGGGAAGACGACGCTGCTCGCGAAGTTAAGCCTCAACGAGACCCCCGCGACGGTGCCGACGGTGGGATTCAACGTCGAGACCGTCGCCTTCGCCGGGGTGACGATGCACCTGTGGGATGTCGGCGGGCAGCGTCGGCTGCGGGGCCTGTGGCGGCATTACTACGACGGCGCCGACGCCATCCTCTTCGTCATCGACAGCAACGACGCGGGGCGGCTTGGGGAGGTCCGTGGGGAGCTCGTCCGGCTGCTCCGCGAGCCCGCCCTCGCCCGGGCGAGTTTGCTGCTGCTGTGTAACAAACAAGACCTCCCGGGGCGGCTCCCGCCGGCGGAGATCGCGCGGCGGTTGGGGGTCTACGACGTCGTCGACGAGGACGCCCTGGGGCGGTATTTGGCGGGGCGCCGGTGGTACGTGCAGGGCTGCTGCGCGTTTACCGGGCAAGGGTTGTTTGAGGGGCTCGATTGGCTTTGTCAGCACCTCCCGGAGGCGACCTAAACTCGGGGAGGGAAGGGAGCGGAAACGACCCCGGATCAGGCGGGTTCGGGGTGATTGGGTCGTTGGGCCTCGCGCCCGGGGGTCAGAGCCGCGGTTTGGAGAAAACCGACGGGTGATTGTCGTTGGTTTGTTTTCTTCTCTCTCGCTCGCTCTTGAGGAAACGGGGAGGGGGGGACGAGGCGCGAAGGAAGGTCTGGTTCTGAATGGTACGGCCGCACACCGAACACCTGCCTCTTACGTAACCTAAGGACTGTTGTAAATTTTTTTTTATCCACCTTTATTCTAAGCTTTTATGGCTGTCAGCCGCATTGGGGTGCAAAATTCGTATCTTTTAGAGCACCTAATGATATCCCTAACATGATATGAAGAATTTGTCAACACACATTTCTTGCATGCTTTTTCAATCAAATGGGATAAAACTTGGCGAAGTCGTGATTTCTGATCTCATCCGTAGCAGCGCGAGTCAAAGAAAAAGGTCATTATATCGGTCTTACCAATATTCATTTTTTACTTTTTTAGAAAAGGCAGAGATAAAAAGATTGCCATTGCTTATGTCTAGCAATTTTTCTACTACATTCTTCTTCTGGAAAGATGTCAAAATCTTTGTATATATGCAAATTGTAGAGGTCTTTAAGGGATTAAACTCTGTCTAGCACACCCTTTCTTTGAGGAATTACGCACTAAACAAAATCAGAAAGTTTTGTATTTCAAATCGTTTGCGCTTTAAATTTTTATTCCCGTTCCTGTAATTCTTCTTCGTCGATAGACATTTACTTTAATTAAAGTCAATAAAGATAAAGTTATCATTCAAAAGAAAAGAAGTCATCAATTCCAGAACGCTTTGGATTTTAAGCGTGTGACTTTGATACTCGATACTCACACGCTGGTCAACTCACCTTTAGCAGCACGTCCGGATCATGATCTCCACAATCGGTGAGCTTTTTAATCTCAACCACTTCGACCAGTTCAGCAGCGCGAATGATGTGATTGTGATCCGGCAAAAAGATGGCTCCCTCCAGAGCAGTCCCTTCCACGTTCGCTTTGGGCGCGCGAAGATTTGGAATTCGATTAACAAGATAGTTCAGATCGAGGTGAACGGCACCCTCACGAGCGCCGTGATGAAGATCGGGCGAGGGGGCGTCGCGTACTGGCTGCAACCAACCTACGGTGCCTTTGCTAAAAAAGACGCAGAGCGAAAGGATCCCGATGTGGATCGCCATCATGGAGGGGATCATCCACCCTATCACGAACGCAATTTAACCCATCCATGGGTGCCGAGCGGCAATGTTTCCGAAACCAACCATACCTCGAAAACGGAGGGGGAAGAAACGGCGGCGCCGACGATTGGGCATTCTGCGCAGGATACCGGCGAGGAGCCCTTGGAGGATTCCATCCCCCTTCCACTCCTCCACAAACAAGAGGACAGCACCATTCGAGTTTTTCGAAACGCCATTCAGAACTCCGGCGACGCGCGGCAGGCGAAGTTAGCCTTACAGGCCGTTGCCGCGGGTGAGATCTCTCGTCGACGGCTGTCAACCCTCTTAAATCCGAAAAAAAACTTCCCACGACCGGCTTTTCAATCCGAAGATCCGGGAGAGGCTCCGCCAGGCGATCCGGCGATGAATCTTCTCGATTTGGACGCCGACAAGCCGAGGATGGAGTCGGATCGCACCTTTATCGGTCCCTTTCAAAACCCCGCCTTGTTTGATCTGTCGGATCCATCGCAACCCCCGACGGATTCCCCCGGGATCGACGCCACAAGGGACCCTTCGGACGTGTTTCAAATCCCTCACGATCTCCCTGATAGCGACCTCTCCTCCACGGATCTTCCCAACGGGAATGAAGATAGTTACTCCCTCGATCCGATCGAATCCTTTGAGCTGACGGAGGAGCAACGGCAGCTGGGTAATTGCAGCTTTTCCAGCAGCCTCACAAGTGGGGTTTCGGTTACGGAGCCCCCTCCAATGGGGGAATTGGAAGGGGAATCCTCCCTCCCTCCTCCTCCTCCTCCTCTTCCTCCTCCCTCTCTTCCTCCTGCCTCCTCCTCTCGAGAGGCCGGCGCGTACTTTGCGCGGTCGCTTCTCCCGTCAAAAGGCGATCTCGCGCGGCTAAACCTTCGCGAGGGCTGCAATCGCGTTCGCTACCTCGCGCGGAAAACGCCAAACGGGGAGGTGGTGGCCGTGGAGTGTACTATTTTCCTCTGGGATTGCGCGGATAAACTCGTCGTGAGTGATATCGACGGCACCATCACGAAAAGTGACTTCTGGGGGCATCTCTATCAGGCGTTTGGCAAAGGCCGGGATTGGACCCACCCGGGGACCTGCGCGCTTTTCGCGAAGATCGCCGCGAATGGGTATCGAATGGTCTACCTCTCCGCCCGCAGCGTCGCGCAGATCGAGCAGACGAAGCGGTATTTATGGTCGCTCGAACAAGAAGGGGTGCGGCTTCCCTTGGGGCCGGTGCTCACCGCCCCGCTACGGTTTTTCACCGCACTCACGCAGGAATTATCGAAGCAATCGCATGTGTTCAAAATCGCGTGCTTGGAGAGTGTACGAGATGCGTTTCCCGCACACGCGAGGCCGTTTTTCGCCGGGTTTGGGAATCGGTATAGCGACGTGATCAGCTACGACGCGGCGGGGATTCCGGTGCATCGGATTTTTATCATCGACCCCTCGAGCAGGTTGCGTGTTTGTCAGGTGCAGCAAACCTATCGAAACCTCGCGCATCTCGTCGACGTTACCTTTCCCAGAATGCACGCGAGGCGGCAAACAAAGCTCAAAAGTTATAACACCCTATCGAATGCGTTTTTAAGTGGAAACACGGCGCCCGGTGCGGGAAATGGGGGAGGTGGGGATCCACCAACAACCAATGCAGCCACTTCTTCCGTCCCAAGTGGGCTTTCGATGGGCTTTTTTGATTCCAAAGAAAACGATTTGTTGAGTTTCAACCTCGTCAACCAGGAGGACGAGCCTCAGGTGGCTTTGTTTGCCCAATCGGCCCCCTGCGTTGGGAGTAGCACGAGCAGTGAGGAGGAGAGGGGCGAGGACGCCTATGGGCCCTCCCGCGTGGGCTCCTCCACGCGTTGTTTATCCACTCGAATCGATTCACCCAATGGGGTCGCGCAAGGCGATGCCTCCCACGCGAACGGGGTGAACCCCTCGAGTTCGCATTTGAATCAAAAAGGCGACGGCTCCACGTTGGCCTCCGTTGGCAGTCAGACCTCCCGATCCCCGTTTGGGCATCCGAAAATCCTCTCCCCGGCGAGCCTGGCGGTTTACGATTTAGACGCCCCCGGTGAGTACGTCGCGTTAGATCCCGACTTCAGCTCGTACAACCACTGGCGGTTGGATCCCTCCCATCTGATCGGACCCTCCTCCACGACGAAACTCGTCGGGCGAGTCGACGGGGGCCTGAAAGACGTGAAATATCCCTCTAAACCCGTGGATTCAACGACGCAGAAGGAAAGTGAAAATCGCACGATCGGGATCCCGACGACGGCTTCTGGAAACGCGGGCGGAACGCTTTTAGGTCATTTCCCACCCCCTTCGTCGTCGGGGTTGAACTCCGCGAAGGGGGAGCGCGACGCGACCGCGGCTGAACGTCTTCCTGTCGTTGAGAATCCACCTCAAGGGAGGATTCGTGAAGTCCACGCGACAACCCAGGCCGATCTCGTCGGAATTCATTTCACAAAAGCTTCCGGGATTGTTGATGAGCCTTTTCTTCATGCGGATCGACCTTCATCCGGCGTGGAGGCGCGTAACGTGGTGGGAATCCCCACCAAGTCTTCCACAGGAAAGGAGGATCCGATCCAAACTACCGATCCTCCGGTGGCCTCGGCTTCCGAATCCCAAGCCTCTATCTCTCGCAACCCCCCTAACACCACAAAACGAAGTAGTTTTTTCTCGTTTCCTTTCACGCGGAAAACCGCGCTCGCCACGGGAAAGGAGGCAAGTAGTTCAACCCGTGAAGAAGGGACGCGTGGGACCTCTGGCAGTCAACCCTCTCTTGCTTCTAGGGTGCATCAGCACCCCGATGCTTTAACTTATTATATGCAACTAAACCAAGATGGAATACGACTCCCCACTTCCACCCCCTCACCATCATTTCTCTCTAAAAACAAATAATAATATAAACGGAAAAAAAAAGCTCAATTCCTTCAATAGTGGTGTGCAGTTGCAAGGATTTGAAAAGAAGAGCTTCAGAAAGTGAATGTTTTTAGTTTGCATGAGGAAGCAGGAGGCGCCGAAGATAGTCTCTAAAACCTGGCAACTCGGAGGTCGCAAGGATAGTCTAACACGTGGATCTCCTTCTTAGACTCTGTAATCTCTCAGGATTGCTTGAAAGTAGTTATATTTCCTTTTCTTTTATGCGGGATCGTATTCCTATGTTTTTTGTCTATTTATTTATTTTTAGTAGTGGCAGCTTAACACTATTTCAGAAAGGCCGTGGAGACACGGTTTAGTTTACTGAAAAGAAAAATTTTATAGTCATGAGCAAGTCTGTACAAGATTATTCTTTGCCCCCAAACACCTTCTCCATCTTTTTTGGTATATACACTTTTAGGATGTCATGCATTGCTTTTTCTTTCATATCATGAATATTAAATATATGGAGGAGAGTAAGCTTCTTTTTTGCGTCGGGAGGAAAGAGAATAAAAATTTAATGTATTTATCATTGAGATAAAAATGGATATATTCCAGATGATAAAGAGATGATTAATGCGTTGTTTCTATTTTTATTGCTTTTGGAGGACTATTCCTTTGCCGATCTAAGTTCTTTTTACTCTCTACTCTGATGTTTGCAATCTCATGTCAAACCCTCTTGTTGTGAAGTCAGCACTCAACCATTCTTCCTTTTCTTCCTGTAGCTGTTATTTATTCAATTTTCCTTTACCCTATAACCCAAAGGCTGGTTCACTGTATTATCATTACGCGCAGGAATAGCTATGGATTTGGATCCCCAAATTGTACCTGTGATCAACGCGATGCAGGAAAAAATAGAAACGATCAAAACCAACCTCCTGCCAAAGCTCGACGCGTTAGACGAGGACTTGGTTGTTTCTCATTATTCCTTGGAAGAGCAGGCTCGTTTGTTTTTAGCCGCGGCCTTCGCGACTTCGTTATCGATGTATTCGCTGGATAAACTTCAAAATCGCGCGCACCCACACGATGCCGCCCACGCGAAACGAGTCGGGGAGACCTCGGAGCTGAACCCCGGCGTGGACTTGCAGCTCGCCTTGAAAATCGAGCGCATCACGGATTACATCAAAAAACTCCGCGAGATCACCGATCTGGCGAATGAACGGCGCCTGCAGCAGCAACCCAGCGAACGCGCGGGGGAATCCGCGTCGGCGAAGGTAGGGGAGAAGCGTCCGCGTGAGGAATCTGCCGCCAAGGAGGGGGAATCTCGCGACGGGAAGGAAGCGGGATCCCCCGCGGGGGGGGATTTTGGCGACGAGGCGATGTTTCGCGTTGTTTCCCGCGTTCCCGGCGAGGTAGGGCGGTTGGTAAGTCGTCTTCTCACCCACACGACGACGACGAATACGTCGTAATCGCCACCCCAGACGTTTGCATCGATCGATTGATAAATTTATAGATACTATTTATTGATTGCTTGATACGCGAGTGGAGGGATACCAAACGGAATTCTTCAAAAGAATTGTCCGCAATTGATGTCCATTTAATATGAGTCTTAATATTTGGTGGACAAAACTTCCGGTTTCTTTTTGGATGGTTACACCGTAACATTAAGCGTTTAATGAAACATAAAAAAGGTTGGGATTACTGCATTTCACTGGGGATGCTGTTGTTGTTGTTGTTATTTTTTGCCGTGGCGTGAAGGGGGTTTCTTGTGATTCTGCTGTGCTTTAATTTTTGGTTCGCCTTTTCTTCCAGCATTGTCTCTTTTGATTTAATTATTTGTATTTAACACTTTAAAAGGTAATTTTTCAATTACAAATAAAATAGAATATTAATTGTATTAGCAACTAACTAGCTATTCGTATCACTTACCTATTTTACTTACTAGTGTCTGACGATTTTCCAAAAAATCTAAACTCAGGGGACGAACGCGGCGCCTCCTATCCGTCTATTCTTTAAACACGAGTGGTGCAACTTGGATAGCTATCTTTATACAAAAAAAAATCAAATATCGTCCTCCCTATATATATGTGTAGGCCATGCTTAATGTGAGGAAGCCAGCTCATACGTGTTCGGAGCCGCCGATCGCGGCGGGGGTTTCCGCGCCCGCCGCAAACGAATCCTCGAATGCGGGGCGGCGAGGGATGGTGGTGGGGCTCTCCGTCATCGCGGTCGGTCTTTTCACGGTGGGTTCCCTCCTCCGCGCGCTCATCTCATCCCGCCCGAACGACGACGCCACCGCGATGGCGATGCCGCATTTCATCCGCGATCCCGTCGCCGATGAGGGCCCGCCGCGCGGGGGAAAAGACGCCTTCCCCGGTTTTTTGTTTTCCTTTTTTTCGTTTCCGCCGGCGCGGCCCGCGCTGCATCGCCTCGACGCCGTCCTCTGCGGGTTGCGGGATTACACGTATCTCTTCTGGGGGGCCTACGCCGAGGCGGCGGCCCTTCTCCCCCACGGCGAACTCGACGAAATCCATGAAATCGATCGAATCGACGACCTCGTCGACGAACGCGGCGCGCGAGGGCCCCTCGCGGGGTGGCGAAATCCCCTCCAAGGCCTCTCCGCGCTCTCCCCGCGGCTGCTGCATCAAATTTTCGTCCTCGACCCCGCCGCCTGCGAGGTCGACGACGACGACGTCGCGGCGGGGTCCTTCGCCGCGA